GAAATGTTATTGAAAATAATTGGTCACATACTTCCTTAAAAATAAATTTTTATAGATGAAAGTTTGGATCATCATATGTGGATCAATAAATGTAATCCATCATATAAATAGAATCCAGGAAAAAAATTACATAACTAACTCAATAGATGCAGAAAAAATAATCAACAAAATTTAGCACCATTCATATTAAAAGTTCTGAAAACACTAGCGATAGAAGAAAACTATCTCAATCTCATCAAGGCTACACATGAAAAACATCACATCATAATGAATGGTGAGGAAATAAAAGCATTCCTTCTAAAATCTAGAGTAAGAAAAGGATTCATACCCTCACCATTCTTATTCGATGTAGTTCTTATAATATTAGCTATATTAATTATATAAGAGGAAGTGATTAAAGGGATACAAAGAGAAAAAGAAGAAATCAAATTATCTCCATTTGTAGATGATATAATTCTATACATAGAATCTCCATCAGAAGAGTTTTAGAGCTATCAAATAAACACAGCAAAGCAGCAGAATACAGGATAAATGTACAAAAATTAAGTTTTGCTATATGCCAATAGTAAAACCAACAAAAAATGAATAAAAGTATTCCATTTAAAATAACCTTAAACAAACCAAAAACATGGAAATAAACCTAGCTGAGAAGTTGAAAGACTTCTAAAATAAAACTATAAAACACTGAAGAAAGAATTTGAAGAAGACTATAGAAGATGGAAAGGCATCTATTGTTCTTCAATAAGCAGGTTTAATATTGATAAAATTACTATATAACCAAAAGAAATCTATAGTTTCAATCAGTCCCAATCAAAATATTAAAGACTTTCTTCACAGAGCTAAAAATTATTCCCAAAATTCATATGGAAGAATAAAAGATCCAGAGTAGCCAAAAGAATACTGAGCAAGAAGAACAAGACTGAGGCATCACAATTCCCATGCTCAAATCGTGCTGCAGAACTCTTCCATCAATAAGAGAATAGTGTTTTTATAAAAACCAACATGAAAATCAAAGGAATAGAACTCATGGAGATAAACCCACACAGATACAGTCATCTGATACTTGACAAAATCAGTAAAAACATACATTGGAGAAAAAATGGATGTTATGGTTTGGATGTGATGTGTCTTCCAAAAGCTCATGTGTGAGGCAGTGCAAGAAGAGAAACAACTGGATTGTAAGAGCCTTAATGCAATCATTACATTTTTCCCCTTATGGAGATTAACTGTGTGGTTAACTGAAGGCTGGTAGGGTATGGCTTGAGGAGGTGCATTCCTGAAAGCATGGCCTTGGGGTATATATTGTGTATACGGAGAGAGGAGTCTGTCTCTTCTTCCTGATCACCACGTAGGCTGCTTCCTTCTGCCAAACTCTTCCACCATGATGCTCAGCAATATGTCCAGCCCCAATGAATGGATCTTGCTGTCTATAAATAGAGACCTTTGAAACTGTGAGTCCCTGAATAAACCCTTTCTCCTCTACAATTGTGCTGGTTGGATTTTTTTTAGTCACAGCAGTGAAAAGGCTGACTAAATGGACTTTTTAACAAATGGCACTGGGAAAACAGGATATCCATATGTAGAAGAATCAAAGGAGCTCCCTCTGTCTCACCTGCATAAACTTCAACTAAAATGGATCAGAGACCTAGTAATTTGACAAGAATCTTTACAATTGCTAGAAGAAAACATAGGGCCAACTCTCCAATACACAGGAACAAACAGTGGCTACCTTAATAAAACTCTCAAAGATCAAGAAATAAAGCCAAGAATCATTTGGGGAAGCTTCAAATTTGAAAACTTCAAAGAGCAAAGGAAACAAGATGATGATAAACAAAATGATGAAAGGGAGCCTAAAAATGGGAGGAAACTTCTGCCAATTATTCTTCTGATAGAGAATTCATATCCAGAATATGTAAACATCAAAATAACCCAAATAACCCAGTCAATGGGTAAGTGAGCTAAATAGACATTTTTTAGAAGATGACATGAAAATGGCCAACAAATATATGAAAAAACTGTCCAACATTCTTAACAATAAAGGAAATTAAATAAAAACTACACTGAGGTTTCATCTTACCCCAGTTAGAATGACAAGATTCAAGATAAATAACAATCAGTGCCTTGTATTAGGTTATTGTGAATGGAATAGTTTTCCTGATTTTTTTCTCAGCAAATTTATTATTAGAATATTGAAAAGACACAGATTTTTTAAAATATTTATTATTTTTAGTTGTAGTTGACATAATACCTTTATTTTATTTGTTTATTTATATGTGGTGCTAAGGATTGAACCCAGGGTCTCACAAGTGCTAGGCAAGCACTCTACCACTGAGCCACAACCCTAGGCCAAAAAGCTATTTATTTTTGAGTTCTGATTTTGTTTCCTACTTTCCTAATTTTCTATATTAGTATTGGAATTCTTCTGGTGGAGAAGTTTGAGTGTACTACATACAGGATCCTTTCTTCAGAAAACAGATAATTTGGCCTCTTTTCATATTTGTATCTCTTTAATTTCTTCTCTTTTCTGATTGCTCTGACTTTAATTTCAATAACTATATTGACTAGTAGTGGTGAGAGTGAACATCCTTTTCTTGTTCCTGATTTCAGAGAAAATATTTTTAGTTTTTCTTCATTCAATAAGAAGTTGGCTTTGCATTTGTTATACATAGCCTTTATAATGTTGAGGTAAGTTCTTTCTATCCCTAATTTATTCAATAGTTTTAACATGAATGGGTGCAAAAATTTATCAAAAAAAGACGTTGGAAAAAAAGAGTCTTTTTTAAAAATGGTGCTTGGAAAATTGGATATTTGTATGTAGAAGAATGAAACCAGTTCCCGCTCTCTCATCCTGCATAAAGGATAACTAAAATGAATGAAAGACCTATTAATTAGACCAGAAAATTTGTGATTAACAGAAAAAAATGGGCTCACTAATCCAACATATTGGCACAGGAACCTTATCAAGACCCCCAAGGCTCAAGAAGTAAAACTAAGAATCAGCAAGTGGGATGGTATCAAATGAAAATATTTCTGCACAGCAAAGAAAACAGGATAATGAATAGAGCACCTATAAAACAGAAGAAAAAAATTTGCCAGCTATTCTTTTGACAGAGGATTAAAAACCAGAATATACAAAGATTTCAAAATGTTAACACCTAAAAAGCAATTAATCTAACTAATAAATTGGCAATAAAGCTAAACAGGTATTTCTCAAAAGAAGTATAAAATGACCAAGAAATATATGAAAAGCTGCTTAACATCTATACCAATCAAGGAAATGCAGATCAAAACTACATTTTTATGTCATCTGGCCCCTATTAGAATGGAAACCATCAAAAATATACATAATAATAAATGCTGGTATGGATGTGGGGAAAAGTACTCATTCATTTTTGGTGATACTACAACCACTTTGGAAAACAGTATAGAGTTCTCAAAAGAGGGGAAAAGTACTCATTCATTTTTGGTGATACTACAACCACTTTGGAAAACAGTATAAAGAGTTTTCAAAAGATTAAGACTGAAACAACTTCATGACTTTCTCACCCCTTGATTTTATCCAACGAACTAAAATAACCATACTGAAGTGATATTGGCATATCAGTGTTGATGGAAGCACAATTTACAATAGCTACATTATGGAAACAGCCTGGGTGCCTGTCTGCTGATGAATGGATATAGAGAATGTGGTGAATATGCACAATAGAATTCTACTCAGCCATAAAGAAGAATTAAATTATGGCATTTACATGTAAATGGCTGGAATTGGAGAACATCATACCAAGGGAAATATACCAAACTCAGAAAGTCAAAAATTGAATTTCCTCTCTTTTATGCAGAAGTTGGAGCAAAATAAGGCATAAAGGGAAAAAAGGGAGTAGAATTCTGGAATGAAAATGACTAATGAAAGAAAAAGAGATATCAGTGGAATAGAGTAAGGGGGTTGATGTGAAGGGAGAAAGGATGAGAAAAAGGAGGAACTGTGGAATGAAATCAATCAAATTATGTTATACATAAATATACCATGGTGAGATACATACATATATATATATATATATATATATCACTGATTTATTAATAAGCTATAAATTAACAGAAAGGAAATAAGTAGAGGAAGGGGAGCAGAAGAAGGGGCATTAAAATGGAGAAAACTTTATCTGTGTATGTATAAATAGTTCAAAATAAACACTACTATTATGCAGAAGTTAATGAACTGACAAAAATGTAAAAAGTAAATAATAAATGTTAGTGAGGATGTGTGGATAAGGAAACACTCATACATTCTTGGTGGAGAGGACAAGTTAGTATAACTTCTTTGAAAAGCTGTATGAAGATTCCTTAAAAGAATAGGAATGCAGCTACCATATGACCCTGCTATTCCATTTGTTCCTATGCATCAAAAGAGCTGAAATAAGCATAAAACAGTGATGTAGGTATATCAGTGCTTATAATATCTTAGTTTACAGTGACCAGGTTATGGAACCAGCCTATGTGTCTCTCTATAAATGAATGAATTAAAAAACTATACATATATGTACACACACACACACACACACACACACACACACACACACACAATACCCAAACACATATATAGAGATCTATTCTGTCATAAAAATAAAATTATATAATTTTCTGGTAAATGTATGGAATGGAGAAAATTATGCTAAGTGAAATAAGACTCATTATGATAAATGTTAAAACTTTTCTCTCATGAGCAGAAGCTACATAGAAGTAAGGAATAAAAAGAGAGATATTATGTAAATAGAAGTAATGAAAGTGGCTTACAAGGGGGTTGAAGGGAGGCATGAGGAGGAGAAATGGGGAGGAACTCTGAAATGAAATTCTCCATATCTTTCTCTCCGTATGCTTGAATATAACATAAAGAATTCTACTTTTATGTATGAATGTAATGTTCTCACTACAGAAACAATAAAAACATAGAAGGCAGACCTGTTGATTAAGAGAAGGTTATCAGGGAAAGTAGGAGGGAAAGGAGAAGCACTAGATATTCAAATGGAGCAAATTATGCTATTTGTATTTATGAATATGTCAAAATTAATGGCACTATTATGAATAATTATAATGCACTAATTAAAAGACAAAAATGGTCTCCAAATTACTTTTCAAAGGCTTAAAGACCACCATGCTTGTTGTTCAAACAGAGGTCTTGGTTTGATGTGTGAAAATCAGAACAAAGCCACAAAATCTCTGCAGCTCATACAGACATGTCTCCATCCCATGGGCAGTGTGTGCAGACAAAGGACACGATATGTATCTCCTTTCAAAAGAAATAAAACAGATTCAATAATCAGAAAAAGGGAAGAGATGACATCATCTTGGTTTAAAAAGTTACTTAGATAGGAAAACTGGTCATTGATATGTCCAAATTCATTTTTATCATGATAATAATGCAAGACCATTGGAGAGATAGCTATCCATTTACCTGTCTGAGAACCCCTAGCACCACCTTCATCTTCTGGGAAAAAGTTCTTGTCTTTCATTCCAAAGGAAGAAGGAACTTCAGGAACAGGTACCTCTTCAACTTCATCATAACCACTGCTTGTGGCAACTGCATGCTGTCCTTGAGGTTCTGAAAACAGGGAAGAAGGAGGAAGCGCAAGATATTTGTTAGTCTAGGTGATGTCTTCAGTCTGTTCTAATGCAGAGATTCTAATAGTTGAGGAATATAGGTACCCTATTTCAAGGCTGTCCCAAAGGCATACATTTGATCTCCATATTCTTAGATCATGTAAATCATCGAAATATTTCAATGTATAAAGTTCAATAATATTTTACTAAAAAGCTATGCCAAAAAATTCAATAAAAAATATGCTATAAGTTTGAGGCACTTGTTTCAGGCATATGGTGGAGGGTTGAAAAAAATATGTATATATCAATGACTGAGAGTGATTTCATCAAGATTAAGGAGAACCCAGGCTGTTCATATGGCCTCTGAGGCAATAGAGACACAGTGCTTTCCGGGAAAGAAGCCTGGCTTTCTCTCTCCTCCACAGATAGGCTATTCTACCAATTTGAATCACAGGAGGCATGGTTTTCAACCTCCTCTAGTGCTCTGCTAAGATTCGTTCTTAACAGAGCACTCCTGGACATGCCTCATCCTTGGAACTCTCCACTTTTACCACTAAGGAAGGTGCAGGATGCTCTCTTTTCTTATGTTCTCTGTAGAGAAGCTCTCCCAGTGATTGATAAGTACAGGCACCACAAACTCCTTGTGTTCTAGGAATTATGAATGTCTTTTTTTTGTCTTAGTATTCACATAAACCACAGAATAGTTTATATATCTTTGTATTTCAGGTCAAATCCATATGTTCTCTTTCACCTTGGAATTTGTGAGATGATAAGGTTCAAATGTTCTTTTTCAATTTATGGCCTTGGATTTTATAATGATATATTTGAGGTATGTCTGTGACCATAGGATAGTATCTATGGAAACCAACAGATTAGAATCTCATCTTTCCCTTTCTGAGATGACAGATTTGGGTGGAGAGAAAAAGTAGTTGTGAACCTGAAGGAAGACATCCTTCACATCTTAATCACAGAAAATTCTTTTCAGATGATAACCTCCTCCTCACCCCCACCATCCAAGGAAAGACTTGTCTTTACTACCTGGGACAGATTCAGGGTCTCCATTCTCCTCATTGTCCCCTATATAATAAGGTAGCTTAGTTGCTGAGCCATCATCAGACAGGGCTCTTAGTAGGGAGAAAACATCAGAGACAAACACAGGAGGAGGTCAATGTCATGGTTCAGAAGAAATTTTGAA